TGCCTCATCTTGCCACGACCATAAGGGTAGCCACCCGAAAAATTAATTCTGCGTTGTATTCAATGAAGGTATCCTAGTGTAAAATAATTCAAAGTGCAACAAAAACCGCCACACCAGAGAAGAGTCAACTGATCCGGACCACAAACACAAGACCCTGCAAATAGAACAAAAAGACAAAACAAATGGTAAGTGATGGGGGCTAAAGGGGCATCTAAACACCGTCGCTTTGATAAAAGCCGCAACACGCTTGGGTCCTAATTTCATACATGGATATTAAATCCCTAGTATATTACCTTGCTTTCTATTTCTAAGTGTGTATCTGGAATCCTACTAATACTCTATGCATGGATGTCATTGAGTGCGTCTGGATCCCCACACTTTGTTAAAGTACATTGAGTGCGTTTGGATCCCGAGATTCTGTTCGGTTCCATTGAGTGCATCTAGAGTCTGGAATCTTATTTCGTGTCTTATGTGTCAATTATATCCTATTTCATGAGTGCATCTGAAATGTGTACCATTGTGATTTGTTAGCTATTGTGTATTCCTTCTATTTGATTCCATTAGTGCATTTGCAATGTGGAACGTTGTGAGTCAAGCCTAGTGTTGTGCTTTTGGAATTGCAACTCAAACATCCAACTCCAACGCATAAAGAGAAAAGAGGCTTTGTGTCGTTTCGTTTCTCCTCATTCTTTTTACTTTATGCCCCACTGACCAACTCCATCGCATTTTCTGGGTCAAAAGTAGCCTCTGCCTCTAGTGGTCATCTAGTCTATAGATAGAGGGCCCCACAAGTTACCTAAAATATAAATTCATGATTACATCAAAAGTAACGCTAAGGTGATTAAATTTATAGATAAAATTTGTAAATTAAATAATGTGTCATTAATAAGAAATCAGCATGTTTATCACGCTTAAGTAATAATTCAATTATCAACTTTCATGTCATTTAGTTTATAAAATTTTATCTATGAATTTAGTTTCCCTAACATTACTTTTACATCAATAAATAGTTTGATACTATTTTTTGTCATGAAAGACATGGTTTATATTATTATATACTCCTTGGTGCTTAATTTGCATCAATTTTTTTTAGTTTTTATTTTTATCACAAAGTCAACTTTCATTATGATAAAACTAGTACAAGGCCCAAAAAGGACCGGGTGTTTAACTACAGGGAAAGTAAAAGACCCAAGCAAAATGAGAGCAGCAACCCAAGATACAACGGGAGGTCCACACAAGTTTAGACTCGAAGGCAGCAGAAAATAGACAATAAAAAACCTTAATCTCCAGCAGCAAATACCACATCGCTGCCGTCACATCCTCGGAGGAAGCCAAACTCTGAACCGAGAAAGTAGACACCAGATCCAAGTTCCCTTCATGTTACAAATATATACAAACAAAGTATCATATGGGTAGAGAGTGAGGCTAAGGGGGTATGTACAATACCCAACACTTGGCCTCGATGGGTTTGCAGCATAGGCATGCCGGTTAGGGGAGGGAAAGTGAAGGAGGGTAGTTGATTTGGTATCCTATTCCTGATTAGAGCCCGCCTATCCGAGTACATGGTGGGATAGGGATGGAGTATCATAGCTAAGGAGGAAGGAAGACATAAAGTTAAAAACAGAAAGTAGTAAAAGTAGGCAAAAGATGCTGGATATGAGGCATGAAGCGCAAATCCGAGACAAGGTTAAGAGATAGTTGAGACTCAACTCAGGAAAAACTGAGATAAACTCAGAGAGAACCGGGAATAAAACGAAAGAAGGAGACTGAAATAGGAAAGGAAGAGATGGATTTAGGGAGCGGGATGAAGCAGAGGAAGTGAGAGGAGAGGAAAAAGAAGAAAAAGACAAAGGAGGGAAGGAGGGAAGGAGGAAGGAAGAAGGAGATTGGAAAGAGGAGGAAGTAATGGGTTGCCGCCTACCTCGAGTAAGAGTAAAGGGCGGCGACTGAAAGTTGAAGCCGGAGAAGAAGCTTTGGATCTGGGTTTCTAGAGAGAGAAAACGCGTAAATCTCAACCAGGTCCAGACTAATTAATTGGGCTTTGCTTAATCCACATCAATTAATTTGTTAAAATGTTGTTCAACCTTAACAATTATTTTATTTGCAGGGGATTAAGTGCGTAATTTTATGACCGACTTTCGTAGATAGTGAGTTCGATACTAACTTATTGTAGTCAACTAATTGAGTGACTCGCTCAAATTTCCTCATCGTAGTGCAATTGTATTAAAAAAAATCCAATAATTGACATTACTTCACTCCAGAATAATTTAACGAGGGGTATTCGAACATGAGACGCATGAGTGTAAAGCAAACACCCTTCTTCAAACACTGTGTGAACAATACACAAAATTCAGTACTGATTATCAAAATCATATATATTATATCACTCTGTAATTATTGTCTCTAAACAAATCCATGTGAGCTATGAAATATGTTGCTGGCTATTGGCCCATTTTGGTGGTTATTGAATTTGTAGAGATACGAAAGCCGTATGTATTGCTTCTGAGAAGAAAAAAAAGGTCGTGTGTATGATGTACCGAGAATAATTTCATGGTTTTGGTGATTGACTGTTACGTCCTGGCACCTTGTCACTAGTGTTGGTGATTGTTTGTTTCTCAAGAGAAACACAAACAGATGGAGTGTATCATGATTATTTTGAAGAAGCGATATTATCTACACTAAGGTGATGGAGGAATGGGCTAAGTCCCACAATGAGCTAGCAAGGGTGGGCATAACAACTGTAGAACCGCGACAAAATAAACTATAAAAAACTGGATTGACCGAAAAAAGTCAACGTAGGTTCAAGAACGAAACCGAACTGTTCATACCAGTACGGTTCCAGTTTTCATGTTGATAGAACCGTTTAGAACCGAATTGAACTGTGAATATAAATAAATAATTAAATTTAATAGTTGTATATAGATGTCACTAAATGAGTAGTGAAAACCAAATTGGTTTCACCTAGTGCGACTGCATGAGAGCATTTAGGTCTTTCACTTGTATGGTTCACCTCTTGAGATAAGGCACATATTTGAAAAAATAAAAAATAAAAAAGGTCATTTTCTATCATAGATCTCCAAATTTGACATTCAGGTTTCAATTTCATATTATCTAAGGATAGTATGATCTTAAGGTGTTCAATTACGTCCTTTTTTTTCTTTCTCTTTTTCCTGGACATTTTTTTAATCTCTTGATAAGTTCCTTTTAGGCTTAAATTATTGTATTCGTACTAACATTCTTATTGCATAGCGGATGTATTGTATTATGAATGTATATATACATTTGAATTGTGTTTCTTTTTTTTTTAGCTTGGTGTCAAGCACATTTGCATTTTGATTTAGTATTTGAAAATGATATATTTGTCTATAATTTTGTATAACCATTTTAGGAGTGATATTTGAATGCATACATGCAAAAAACAAGGAAAAAAAACCAAGTAGACTTTGAATACCATTTTGATTTGGTATTCAAAATTTAGTATTTGGAACCATAAATCGGCATGAATCGAACCAGAACTGGTATAAACCAAATTGTACAATTTCGGCAATAAATTTAAGCAGAACTACATTGAACCGAACCGTTGATACTTTCTAGTTTAGGTTTCGGTTTGAGGGTGGAACGGCAATGTGGCCACCCCTAAGCAATAATGTGGTTCGATTAATATTATGATATACTCTTTAGTCCTTAGTCCTTAGTCCACATCAATTAATTTGTCAAATGTTGTTTGGCTTGAACAATTTTTTTATCTGTCATTTAATTACTATAATACAGTATTTCCTCAAAAAAAAAAAAAAACTCTAATATAGTGGGTTTTTCTTTTTTAAATAAATGATATTATCTACATTAAGAGGGATGGAGTGCCCTCATAATGGGCTAGCAATAATATGATTCAAAATTCGTCATTGGTAAGAATCAAATCTAAAACCTCTCAGTTATAAGTGAAGAAGAATGCCACTAGATAGCAGTACTAAATGGTGGAATATTCTTCTTTATTTGTTGTTGATTAAGTGCGTAATTTTATGATCGACTTTCAAAGATAGTGAGTTCGATACTAATTTATTGTAGCCGATTGATTGAGCGTCTCGCTCAAATTTCCTCACCATAGCGCAGTTGTATTAAACCCAATAATTTACATTGCTTCACTCCACAAAATTGTTAAGAATTCTTTTATTTTTTTATTTTTAAAGAATTTATGATTATTAAAAGGAGGGAGAAGGGTTTGCAATTGTTCAAAATTATTACAATAATTTAAGAGATGAGGGATTCGAACTTAGGACGCATGGGTATAGACCAACATATTTCTTCAAACACTGCATGAATGATACACAAATTTCAATGCTTATTATTGAGATCATACATATTATAAATCACTCCGTAAATATTATCTCTGAAAAAAAAAATCAACAAGAGCTATGATATCTGTTGCTGGCTACTGGGTGATTGTAGAGATACTAAAGCTGTATGTATCGCTTCTGAGGAAAAAAAAGGCCATGTGTATGATGTATTGAAAATAATTTCGTGGTTTGTTGCAAGTTTTGGCGATTGACTGTTGCGTCCTGGTACCTTGTCACTGGTATTGGTGATTGTTTGTTGCAAGTTGGAGTATGAAGCTGCTATATAGTTTCTCGATACAAATTTAATAATATGATGTCCATCAATGTTTCATCAATCCATTGAGGCATCATGGACTAATAACGCGCCAGCAAATACGTCCCCCAAATGCTACAGTAGTCCTTGTTGAGATCAGATTACATTGGATGCTCTGCTGATCAAAAGATGAAATCGAGCAACAAAGTTTGTACATAAAATGCGTAAGGCCGGGAAGGTGGGCCTATTGGCTTACTGTCTGTTTGCCACTACCATTCACTGTGACCTGTGAGTAGTCAGCTAGCTTTAATAAAAGTTATGAACTGATGATGATGTTTCCTTAATCTGTCTTTCTTCATGCGTGAACGCGTTGAATTTTTGTACGCGGAAAGTAAAGGTGCTTGAGTTTGTTGTATATCTTTGATGATTTTCTAGGAAAGGCTGAGCACCATAAAATTTTCAATAACTTGATAAATCTCAATCATCTCAAGTATCCCCTTCTCTTTCTTTGATATATTATCAAGCGCTCGCTTCTTTCTCTTCTTTTTTACTCACAAGTTACAAGTCTACTGTTAGTTCCTTGAGAGAAACACAAACAGATGGAGTGTATAATGACCATCTTGCAGATGTGCTCCAGATCGTTAACATTTTCTTCTCCGTCATCTGCTGCAGCTGCTGGTGGTGATGATGATGATGATGGTATTGAAGCTAATATCCCCCCTCGTCGGGAAAAGTATGATGTGTTTATCAACTTCAGAGGTGAGGACACCCGCCGTGGTATTACCAGCCATCTTCATGCTGCCTTACTTCAGAAGAAAATTGAAACCTACATAGATTACAGACTTCAGAGAGGAGAAGAAATCAGACCTGCCCTTCTAGAGGCAATTGAGAAATCCACGCTTTCGGTGATCATTTTCTCACAAAACTATGCTTCTTCCACATGGTGTTTAGATGAACTCGTGCATATACTCGAGTGCAAGGAAAGAAATGGCCAGAAGGTTATACCCGTATTCTACGACATCAATCCATCTGATGTACGAAAACAACACGGGAGTTATGCGAGTGCATTTGCTCAACTTGAAAAACGTTTCAAGGACAATATTGATAAGGTGCACAAGTGGAGGGATGCTTTGACGACTGCAGCCAATCTATCTGGGTTTGATTATCCAAACAAAGGCGGGTAAGTAACTCATTCTTTAACTTGTATAAAATTATAAATTTTCTTTAAACTTGTTACAATTTGAATTTTGCTAAGATTTGGTAAAGCATTACTCTATTTTAAACTTGGGGAGGGGTGGCACTGTAGCTTAGCTGCAATGCAATGCAATTGGGCGGAGATTTTGGTTTTAACAAGATTTCATACCTGAGCGCTCGACAGGTCAAAAAATTTGTCATGTCATTAAAATCAAGTTTTTTAGTTTTTTAGTTTTGTAATTTAGAGAACAACATCACATCACATCAAAGTAGTATGTAATGTAAATAATGGAACAAAATAGAACATTTTAATAGACGGTGTAATCACAAAATATAATGTCTTTGCATAAAAAACAGATGTAGCATGCAGTCAACTTTTCTAACTTATTTACAACAACCCTATTTACACATATTTATAACAACTCTATTTGCACACACACACACACACACATATATATATATATATACACACACAATCATATTTACAATTCTATTTATCGGATACACTAATTAGCTTTTTCGAACTTTTTCTTGCCCTCTATGTATGCTTCTATGTCACAAATTGAAAAAATAAAAGTTGTTAAAATAAATCAATGATATTTTGGTGAAGATGACGGAATAAAAGTGTAATTATTGAGGTGAGACTCTTAATTGTTAAAAACAATTGAATACTCAAGTGCATTTAATATATAATATACGTTGAAAAAATATATGTTGATGTACAAATTTTAGTATAACGAGAGAGAAAAATAAAATTTCTTTTGCTCATGAATAATTAAAACTGACATATGTTAAAGCATACATATGAGAAGAAAGTGGAGTTTTCAAATTGTTCATATCACATTTTCCATTAAGGTAACCACAATAAACTTTTCTATCACAATTATCTGCAAGCAAGTATGAATAAAAGTTAACTAATGTGATTATTTTCATCCTATTGTAAATGGAAATATAGTCATTTTGCTGACTTGTAAACTAAGAGAAAAATACCTCAAAATAAACATGATTGTGGACTCTCCGCCACAAAATATATACAAATATGTACTCTCAAAATACACAACCCTCACTAGGGCCAAGACATGCCCATAGATGCTCAAAATATAAGTCCCAAAAGAAATAATACAAAGAAGGATAAAGGGGTAACCTAATCGCTCAAAGTCTCTGATTTCTGCACTATTACCCCCACCGGCTCCTCATAATCTACACAAGCTTGTATAATCAGTGCCTGGAGTATGCATGAAGGTAACCTGGCACGAATATCAAGACGTCATGTACTATCGTCGCCTGGGCTGAGGTCCAATTTGGTCGGGAAGTGGCCTAAAAACACCATAGATAGTTGGAACCCTAAAATGGGTGTTGTTTGAATCGTTGTAAAATCAAACCCCGACGCCCTAACAAGTGTTTGGGCCTTGTTCCTGGGTTCAAGGAGAGTCTATTGCAATGGTCGAGGGAAAAAACTTCAAAAACGACCGATCCCTATCGAATACTCAAGGACCCATCAATGGAGTTCTTTGCTCATCAAGTTTGTGTGGAGATTGAAGGGAAACTGACGTGGTGATGTTTAGTGGTGGTGGAAGGTCGAGAAAAACCGGAAAATCAACAGAAGTCATGTCGAAAATTGTAAAGAGTTCGGGTCAGGAGTTGGGTCGCGAGGGGGAAATGGGTCGCGCTGGGTTCTCTCGTCTCTTCTCTGATTAGTCACCTCATTATCACTCTCTATCTCTCTCTAATTGGCCCCTCCCCAAAATAATGGGAGCTTCTAATTATATATTAAACATATATATATATATATATATTTTAATCAAACTTATAACTTCTGTAACTTATTTGTTATCACTTCGGTTCGTGAATAGCTTTTGCCTACGCGCTCGTGGAATTTAGTTCTATTCAAAAACACTAATTGTGACCTTGAAAGGTCCATGGATTTTAAAAGATTAATTAAGAAAATTCATACATTATAACTATATGATTCAAATTATAAAATTAACGAAATTAGAATAAAATAAAAATAACGTAAATATGAAATATGTCGTTAATAATGAAATTCCAGAGACAGGATTTCACATCCTTCCTTCCCCTTAAAAAGAGTTTAGTCCTTAAACTCAAAGCACCTGAGTCAAACAGATGTGGTTAATGTTGGCGCATCTCGTTTTTTGTCTCCTAAGTCGACTCCTCCACGCCACGATTGTTCCATAACAAGCACACTAAAGAAATAGTCTTGGTGCGGAAAGCTTTCTTTCTTTGATCGAGGATTTCAACAGGGTACTCGTCATAAGTGAGGTTCTCTCTAACCTGAATAGGCACATAAGAAATGACATAAGACGGATCACTTTGATACTTCCAAAACAAAGATATGTGTGTAAACACGAATTATTCCTGAAACAAGAGACAAGAATACGTGTACAAAATATATTTTTTTGTATTAATGATTTTGGGGTTACAATCTCTTTGTAATTTGGTCCTCTGATTCTATCTTCGTAGGGTGTGGGTTTGTGGATGAGTTGTTGATCCAAAGGGCCGTCGGGGCTTGATCTAAGGATGAACAGTTGATGAATGGATCTTCAAGGGGCGTTGGGCTTGATCTTGAAGAATGGGTGTATGAGTTTGTTGAGGTTGTTGATCCAAAGGGCCGTTGGGGCTTGATTTTAGGATGAACAGATGATGAACGATGAACACTTTCCTCAAGGGCCGTCGGGGCTTGATCTTGAGCTGGTGGAAGTTCTTCAAGGGCCGTTGGGGCTTGATCTTGAAGGTTGATGGATGAGCGGATCTTCAAGGGCTTTTGGGCTTAATCTTGAAGAACGATTGGATGTGTGGATTTGTTGAGGTTGTTGATCCAAAGGGCCGTTGGGTCTTGATCTTAGGATGAACGGATGATGAACGATGAACACTTTCCTCAAGGGCCGTCGGGGCTTGATCTTGAGTTGGTGGAAGTTCTTCAAGGGCCGTTGGGGCTTGATCTTGAAGGAGGATTTGACGAAGAACGAAGAGTGCTTTCTTGATCCTTCGGGATTTGCTTGAGAGCTTTAGAGTTTCAAGGCTTCTTCCTTTCTTTCTTTCTTCTCTTTCTTTTCCTTCTCCTTCCTTCTTTTTTTTCTTTCTTCCTTCCCCCCAAAATGAATGCCTTGGCCTCCTATTTATAGAATTCCAAAACTTGATTTTTGGATTTAAATAATCAGATGAAATAAATCATTTCTGCCAGGTATTGACACGTGTCATATTTGATGACTTTTCCAATTTATTTCGATTTTTCGTTGAATCACACGCTACATGTAAAATTTATGTGACACGTGAACGTTGAAATTTTAATTATTGCTCAACATTCATTTCACCGAAAATTTGATGTCTACAAATGCCCCCACTTCAAGGCGCGTCGTAGACATGTGCTTGTCACGTGTAGAAGATGCGTTTTGAAGTCCCTTAATATAGGTGTCTACCCAAGGGCCGTCGAGGCTTGATCTTGAATTGGGCTGGAAATTTCTTCAAGGGCCATCGAGGCTTGATCTTGAGTTCGACTGGAAGATTTTCTGGTTTCCTCCAATCGTTGATTTTCCGCAGGCTTACTCTTGAACTGAGCTGGAGGATTCTTTTGGTCTCCTCCGAAGGTCTGAATTTACTCCTTTGATCTAGAGTTGAATTTGATTCAAGGGTGGTGAACACTTGATTTTGAATCGGACTTGTGATTTCTTCAAGGGCCATCGAGGCTTGATCTTGAACTGGGCTGGAGGATTCTTTTGGTCTCCCCCTATCGTTGATTTTCCTTTGTGCTACTCTTGAACTGGGTAGCAGGATTCAGACACATGGCAGGCAAGCACGAGGTGGAAGTGATGACCTGTTTCTTTGTTCAATCTTTCCAATTTGTATTGAAAAGGGTAGATCGGAAGACTGACTCCAAGTGCCGGCTGATTGCTCTTTTCACTTTGCTATGCGAGTAAGAACAAGGACAAAGGAAAGGACATGGAGAAAGCATGATATGAGATACCTTTACTTTTGAAGAAGCAGCGAATGAATCAGCATATATATTTGTTGTGCTTGTCTCCACATGCTTTGATGTATCATTTTCACTTGCCTTACTTGCTCCCTTTGCAGAAGTGGTATTTCCTTATGCAGGTTTGGCATCTTCTCTTGTAGTATTTGTTCCTGATGCAGGAGTTGAATGCAACCTTTGCATTTAAATGGTGCTTCAAAACATTACTTCTCAGCGACGATGAGTACTCGAGAGCAATGCAAGGTAAGCAACCAGGCAAAGGTTCCAGGCAATTAGTTCCAGGTCGGAAGTTTGATTTCAGGTTCCGACTAATAACTCTATTTCCCCTTGTCCTGCAGGTAAGAGCAAGGGTAAAGGAAAAGATAGGGGAAAAGCATGATATGAGATACCTTTGCTTTCGCCCTTGATGATATGAGATACTTTTGCCTTGGTGTCATTTGTTTGCAAGGGCATTCCCGGAGAGGAAGAAAACTGAGCATTTTGAGATGCTTTGCTGGGAGTGTACTCTCAGAGGTGAGGAAGAGTTGGGCATTTTTTTTTTGTTTGCAGGTCTGCCTTGCCATAAAAGATGAAGGTCGACATATATAGGGATTTCCCAATAGCAAGTGGTGGTACTGTTCTTTTACCCTTGTCAACAAACGTTTTGATCCCGCAAATCCGGCTATTTGAAATAGTGACGACTCTTCGATCTTTGAATACGCCTCTTTGATTTCTGAACGACGTCTCTTCAATTTCTGAACGAGTGCCTCTTTTGACAAAGCTGCACGCGTTTTCTGAAAAGCAGAGAAAGCGTCGCCGAACTTTGCGCTTGTCGGCTAAAGATGTGTAGCTGCGATGATGACCTCCACGTGATCTTTTGACAAAGTGGCACCCGTGCTCTGAAAAGCCGAGAAAGCGTCGCCCACCTCCACGTGTTTTCAACTTTGTCGGAGATCTTTTGACAAAGTTGAACGCGTTTTCTGAAAAGCCGAGAAAGCGTCGCCTAACTTTGTAGACATCAAAATTTCGGTGAAATGAATGTTGAGCAATAATTAAAATTTCAACGTTCACGTGTCACATAAATTTTACATGTAGCGTGTGATTCAACGAAAAATCGAAATAAATTGGAAAAGTCATCAAATATGACACGTGTCAATACCTGGCAGAAATGATTTATTTCATCTGATTATTTAAATCCAAAAATCAAGTTTTGGAATTCTATAAATAGGAGGCCAAGGCATTCATTTTGGGGGGAAGGAAGAAAGAAAAAAAGAAGGAAGGAAGGAGAAGGAAAAGAAAGAGAAGAAAGAAAGAAAGGAAGAAAGGAAGAAGCCTTGAAACTCTAAAGCTCTCAAGCAAATCCCGAAGGATCAAGAAAGCACTCTTCGTTCTTCGTCAAATCCTCCTTCAAGATCAAGCCCCAACGGCCCTTGAAGAACTTCCACCAACTCAAGATCAAGCCCCGACGGCCCTTGAGGAAAGTGTTCATCGTTCATCATCCGTTCATCCTAAGATCAAGCCCCAACGGCCCTTTGGATCAACAACCTCAACAAATCCACACATCCAATCGTTCTTCAAGATTAAGCCCAAAAGCCCTTGAAGATCCGCTCATCCATCAACCTTCAAGATCAAGCCCCAACGGCCCTTGAAGAACTTCCACCAGCTCAAGATCAAGCCCCGACGGCCCTTGAGGAAAGTGTTCATCGTTCATCATCTGTTCATCCTAAAATCAAGCCCCAACGGCCCTTTGGATCAACAACCTCAACAACTCATACACCCATTCTTCAAGATCAAGCCCAACACCCCTTGAAGATCCATTCATCAACTGTTCATCCTTAGATCAAGCCCCGACGGCCCTTTGGATCAACAACTCATCCACAAACCCACACCCTACGAAGATAGAATCAGAGGACCAAATTACAAAGAGATTGTAACCCCAAAATCATTAATACAAAAAAATATATTTTGTACACGTATTCTTGTCTCTTGTTTCAGGAATAATTCGTGTTTACAAATTTGGCACGCCCGGTGGGATCATCTCTACCTTTCATCTCTATCCTCAAATCATCGAAAAACGCAAATGGCATCAAGAAATGATCAAGCTGTTCCTGCAATCAAAGCAAAGAATAAGAACATCATCGCCGCAAGTGGTGATATTTCGGGCATCATAACCCGAAGTAAGGCAAGAGATCTTTTTGCCGCGGCTTCCGCCTCTGCATTAACTCTGTCAAAGGAACAAGAGCACCTGAGGTATGAGCCTGTGATCACCCTAGCCTCGCTAAGGGCATCAAGGGGGGAAAGGCCGAAGAAATACTCAGAGTCCCTACTCTCCGACGTTGATTCGAGCGGCAGCACAACCATGCAAGTCATGACCACTGGAGCAACTTCAATCGAGGAGCAGCTAGCTCAGATGAATGAAGCAATTGCAAAGCTCACACGGACTGTGGAAGAGAAGGACTTGCAGATTGCCGCACTCATCAACCAACTAGATGCGCAGCCCGACGTGAAAGTCGACCCAAATATTGGCCTAGTAAAGAAAGAAGACAACGAAGAAGAGGAGCCTCCAGCAGAGAAAGTCGAAGAGAAGTCGAAGCTAGACCAAGCGACAACATCCATGGGATCTCTCTTTATCCAGCAGCTACAGGAGATGATCGCAAGCACTATCAAGACACAGTACAAAGGAAGCTCGCATGACTCCGTACTATACTCAAAGCCTTACTCCAAGAAGATTGATGCTTTGAAGATGCCAAGGGGTTATCAGCCACCAAAATTCATGCAGTTCGATGGAAAAGGCAACCCGAAGCAACATGTCGCCCATTTCATTGAAACTTGCAACAATGCTGGGACAGAGGGAGACTACCTCGTCAAACAGTTCGTGCGTTCGCTGAAAAGTAACGTTTTTGACTGGTACACTGACCTCGAACCTGAGTC